AAGTGAAGTTTCCTCATCAATGTGTGTTTCCCCTTAACCACCTAAACCTGAGCTTAACCTTATCCCTACCCCTAACCTGTAATGACTATTTGCTAGCAATAAGTGTGAAAAGGAATCCAATAAGAATGTAAATACATTTGGTGCCATTAATCACACACCTTGTGACCCCACCATATTATAATTATATTTTATCCCAAAAAACCCAAATTTGCTTTGGCAAACAAAAGCAGAACAATTTGTTGTCCGACCCGTAAATCCTAAAATCTGGTGTAATTCCCTCAAAATAGTAGCGTACTCCTTATAATCCCAAATTTTGGTATAGCGCCCCCAAATCCCATAATTTGGTATTGTTAAAATCCCAGATAAATAGTACTATAGTAGGTTAATTCAAGAGTAAAATGAACAATAACTGCATTACGGAATGACAAAAATTATTTACTGTAAACACAAAACATAGATACAGTAAGTGCTCAGAAAAACATTCAACATCTACAGATCCATAACAACTGAGAAAACTCAATCTGCTGATGATCAGGTAGTATGATAGAAAGCTCCACAACAGATAGTAAATGACATTTGAGATATGATTGTTTTGTCAACTGCATTTTGCAGTTTCCAAGGTCAATAATGAACCTAAAGGAAGGACATTATTTTGTAGGGACCCAGATACATACAAATATATTTAAAGCCAGAGAAAGGGAAACAGTTCTATAGCTTGCTTCCCTTTCCTTCCTCCCTCCCTCACATGTCCTTCAAACCGGAAAAACTGTCATCTATGATCAAATTTTCTCTTGAAAACATGCCACAGCACAAACACTGAACTCTACAGCATTCTTTTCTTATATGTTCATTAACTCTGAGCAGATGACAGCCACTGCTCTCATCAGAGGGAGTCTATCTACCCCACATTCCAGGGTTTCCTCTATCTTGCTCATCCTCCCTGGCATATGATGCGGCCAAAAGCAACAAGACAGCAAACTGAGGACAGATAAGACATTTATCAGCGGTGAAAACAAAAGGACCAAAGCAACAGAAATCAGACAGTGTTGCTTGAGATTCACCAGTTACACGTTCGGCTGTGAACTGTATCGCCCCACCTGGACAGAAGTACAATGTCTAGTCCTAAAACAACACTGATAACATTATCGCTACTTGAGCTGGGATATCAACCCAAAACGCCTTCTAAACTATGAGATCAAACATCAAAACGTTGATCAAACATAATCTTTAATGAACAGAATTTTGTGGCATTGATCGAAAAATAGAATTTCACTGTTTTCTCATCTGGTATATCAGGCAAATACTGGCATTGTATTAGCAATTGGTTTGTGCTCAGCCAAAACTGATCACCTGTGATATGACAAAGAAAAAGTTCCTCCATAGTATTTTTGTTGCATGCTATTCATTCAGTCAGTTGCTCAGTAATGCTTTTTTCTTCATGTTGATACATTCAGCAGGATCCCCTACTGCTGATCAAGGCTACTCACTTTGTCTTAAAAGAATAGTTTGACCTGAAGACATAAAGTTGTTGTTTAAAGAGCTGCAAAAACTACAAGAATTTCATTTGTTCTGGATGTGAAAGACATATTTTTGTGTTAGATTGCGATTTAAACTGAATCTTATTTTATTGTATGCATCTGCTTGAATCACTTTCTTGCCAAGATTAAGACGAGAAGATTGATATCATGTTCATGTAAGGTAAATATGAAGCTACTGCCAGCAGCTAGTTAGCTTAGCACAAGTACTGAAAACAGGTGGAAAAAGATAGCCTGGCTCTGGCCCAACCTAACAAAATCTGCCTACCAGCACTGCTCCTACTCACTAATTAACAGTTAAGGACAGTGAATCATGGGATGAAATGCTTGTAAGAACTTAAGGAACACAAATCTAAAAATATCCATGTTTCAGGCTTCAAAGACTAAATAAAGAAATTCCCCTGAAAGCGTTTCAACCATCAAAAGTTCCACTGTCCAGAGTAATCATCAAAGCAGACTTTTTCCCTCCATTCAAACATGATTAAACTGTAACTGTAAAGACATACACTAATTTCCTGTGCTACCCACTGTTTCCACAGACATCTCTGGGCAACTGCTCACTGGCCCTTTAAATGAATGTCCGAAAGCCGCTTCTTCACACATGCAGGCAGACGGACAGAGAGAGACGCAGTTGACTGCAACCAAGCAGAGCTGAGCGAACAATACAGCCTGACTTCCTGACCTCTGGTTCCACAGCCCCTCAGGAGAAACAATGCTCTCCTTATTTAGCCCAGGCCCTTCCCACCATACACCCATTTACTGTCAGCACACTGTCACTTGTGTATTCTCTTTACAGTAACTGGGTTCAGCTTCTTAATTGGCAAGGGGTCATTACAACGTTGTGATCCTGAGTTTGAGGGATGAAAGGTGTTCAACTAGCATATTATTTAGCAATGAAATTTTTTTGGATGGAGTATTTCAAGCTTAACACGCTAATATAAAAGCATGTTAGAAATATAGTAATTTTACTGCAACCCAACACACAGTAACACATCAAAAGTACCAAAAGCGTGTATTTCGGTTGTCTAGAGCTAAAAATGCCTCAGATTCCAGCCAACAAGAACAAAAAGCAGTTTGTTCATTAGCTGCAGCTTCAGAAGAACATTCAGCTCGGCTTCAACTGAAGAGGCCTTTTGTCATGACGACAGCTCCGCAATCATTGCTTTGGGTCTGAAATATTAGCAACACATGATAAAATCTGACATCATCTTTTTTAAGGCAGAGCGAGAGCAGCAGAGAGCCGGGCAGAAGAAATGGTTTCCAGATTTCTTAACATTTTCAGGGGCGTGGCTGCGAAGAAGAATCGTAAATATCTCGGAGTAATCCTTTGACGTCTTAACCTCCTGGTGGAGCAAGTAACCCAACTCTCCGCTATGCTGTCAACAGGATGTTTACCAGTGACATGCTGAGCACAGCATGGATAGTGTATCTTATACCTATAAGCAGGACTGCAAACCAAATTCATGGACTGGCACTTTTCCCTTTTCATTGTTTTTCATCACCTAGGGTTTCCACCAAGGTGCCACAAGTTTCTTTATCAAAGAAGCAGACTTTTAGAGTTCACATGGGCCCCCTTCCACCCAGAAAGGGGCTGTTAAAGGCCCCCACGCACCCACTTCCTGTGTGCTTCTTCTTCTCTTATCTTACTGAGCCGTGACATTCTTTGATTCCTGTCCATACAGCCTCTCCACAACAAACTGATCAGCTATGGAAGAATGCTAAAAATGGTCCAAAGAGAGTCACTGCTGCTAATAAGATGATTTATATAAAGTCCATAAAACAGCTTTAAAACAAGTCATTTTGCTTTGCTGTGATTTATGCCTCTCCATTCTTCATTTGAAAGAAACATGCTGTGCAAAAACTGGGGTTTCAAGCATGTTTCCCTCCTGGCTAAGCGGCTCAACCTAAAGGAATAACTGTCAATGTGTTGTACATTTAGTGGTTGAAAGCTTCTCTGTTCAGATCGGGGGCTACATTTCTGAGGCTGATGAACTGACAGTCCCACCCGCTTCTTGCAGTGATTGCCAGGTGCACACAGATGTGAAAAAGTTAAGAGCTATAAGCTCACTGCAAATGATTTTCTCTGCATTCCTCACATTGCTCCACTATTTTTGTTCACTGCCGAGCTGCAGCAATCTCCTCTGTGTTGGCAGTGGTGGAGGTGATGAGCTTCCAGAGAAGAAATGGTTATTTGCTTTCTTGCTGTGAGTTTGATGAGAAAATTGATACCACTCTGTACAGTAAATATGTAGGCTAGCTAAAGCCAGCAGACGGCTATCTTAGCTTAGCATAATGGCTGAAAACAGGCTTAAACAGGTAGCCTGGCTCTATCCAGAGGTAACAAAATTCCCAACCAGCTCTTCTAAAAGGCTCCCCTATTAACATGTTGTGTTAAATCAATAATTAAATGTTTTACAGGAAGTTGTGCACCCTGTTTCCAGTCTTTATGCTAACTTAAGATAACTGGCTGCTGGTTCCAGCTACGTGCTTACCGTAACCTACAGGAAGTAGTATTAATATTCTGATCTAACTTTCAGTATGAAAACAAATAAGTGTATCTCCCAAAACTATGGCTTTTAGCTCATACAGCAGAAAGTCAACACATACCAAGAAATTAAATAATCTTGTAGAAAAGTAGCCCCATGTTTAACACTCTTAAAAACTGCACAAATTGGCTTTTTTGACATGTTCATAAAGACCTCTGGCACAAATTGACAAAAATTGGTACTTGTAGAAAAGAGTTAAAGAGAGAGAGTGATCACTCAGTCCTGTGTTTGAGTGACAAAATGAAGTAATTACACTTAATAGGCTTCTTTATATAATTGACCAGTAAATGTTTAACACCTATTTGAATTTTGACTTTTTGCTTTTTTGGACACTCCCTGTCCATTAGTTATTTGATTATTTCCATTACACCTAACAAATGTCAGGCATTTCCCTCTGAACATGATCAATGGAGAACTGCAGCTGCACATAAAGCAGTGGTAATATTTCTCTCATGTTTTGAGTAGAGGTTGTGCCTAGTTCCACAGAGAAACCTATCATCTTTCATTAAGGCCAGCTCCGAGATCCAATCTGGCATCTGCTGCTCATTACCAACCTGCAGTGGTACATCTAACTCAAATATGTGCTGAGGAATCTATTTCACGCTGAGAAGAGAATACAAACATAATATTCTGTCTTGGAATTTATAGTTTTAGTACCATTGAATTAAAAAGTGGTGAATTTATGCCTACAACTGTAATGAAGCATGTGGATTTGATCCAAGTTTCAGCTCAAATCAGATCAAATATGACACTATATTCACTTTATGAATTCCTCTTTTTCAGACAGCACTTCATATGTTCTTCAAAACATGCTGATGAATTAGATTGGCAGCTCAAATGGCCCACACACTGCACAGCTGTTTCAGCTGCCTTTGTGGATCTGCACCTGACTGAGGTACAGCATCCCTGACTGGCTCACCTGAGGGCAGTCTTTGATGTAGTGTCCTTTGTTGAAGCAAAGGTGGCACAGGTAGTTGGGCGGCGGTCTTTTGCTGGGTTTGCGTGTCTCGGGGGACAGGGAGAGGTCTGAGAAATGGTCCGCCAGAGAGCTCAGGCCATCCACGATATTGTTGAGGGATCCATAGGGTGAGGAGCTCTTGTAGAAGTTGTTGTTCAAGGCCTGTCAGAGAAAAACCAAGATGATAAATCAGTGGCAATGGAACTGTGTGGATGTAAAGGTCTAAATATTCAGTAGATACCTTAATGCACTAAAGTCTCACAATTGTCATGATCACCCAAAGACCAAAGAGATGTCAACAAATAGGTTGTTTTGTTCAACGAGCAGTCTAAAACCCATAGATAATTCATTTAACAATGATATGAAGCAAAGAAAAAGCAGCATATTCTCACATGGAAGTAGCAAACATGATGTTTTTCTTTGACAAATGACGTCAAAGATGATCAGAATTGTTGTTGATATATTTTCTGTTGATATATTTATTGATTAATTGGCATTATCTTTGACTCTACACAAAAGTATCTTTCATTTCACAAAGACACAGAAGAACATTGTTGTGACTCCAGGATGAAAGAGCATTTCAGCCGGCAGGTCAGTCCATCACCCTTGTTTCTCTCTCTGACAGTAGCCGACATTATTTCATTTCTGCAGATGTGCTGCCTTTACTGCATTTACTCTGTGCACCAATAGTGTCCATTTCCTCATCAGAACAAAATGCCTTTGTCATGCATTCTCCCAACTGGTCCTATTGGCACAACACAATCAGCATCATTGTGTCTCTGGAGGAGATGGGTGCTATGGCACCGCAGGGCAAACATGAAGAACAGCCTGCAGACACTGGCTGTTTACTCTGGGGGCATCACAGTGACTGAATTGTGATCAGATGCACTTGTACATTGCAGTGGTTAATACTCTGAATGAGACATCAAACTGCTGCAAATCTGTGGCATGTGTTACAGTATATAATTTGAACTGTTTCATTTTCAAAGTGAAACGGCGTAAGCTGGTGACTTTTGGTGCCAATGTGTAAACAAAAACACACTTTTTAATGCTCTGTTTCCATTGTCCTACTTTTCTTGAACAGGTCAGTATTAAATTAAGCAACACCAAGCCCCACTACGTGACGGCTACATATATCTCCTACCACGCAGAGGCCAGCCAGGGTGAACCCTCACATTTTTAAAACCTTGTGAGAGGTCTTTCTCAACCTGCCATTCCTCCACCAGCTGCAGACTGACACCAGAACAGTCTGAACACACTCAGGCAGTATACCAGGGTACAAAACACATATTCATAATCTACCCACTCACCACAGTGCAACCCAATGAAGGCATGCAGGTGAGGTTTACTGTATGTGCTACAAAAATAACCTGGAGTGAAATATGTGGGTATGATATTCATGGACACCCAAGGAGAGAGATTATTTGATATGCAGCAAAAAAAAAAGAAAAAGAAAAAAGAAATCAGTGTAAGTTTCAACATAACATGAATGTTGTAAACTTCCATGCAAAGCATTAGTCTTTACTATAGGACAGCGTAACATCACATGAATTCTACCTCACTCCTCAGATGGAAGAAGTTGTTGAGATAGTTGGAGCTCAGATCAGCTGCGCTGCGCTTGGAGTTGTTCATGTCCTGAAGAGAAGTGTCCGACTCGGCTTTGAACGCATCAAAAGCGCTGCTCTGGGTGTCTTGCAAAGACATATAGACCCAGTTGAGCAGCTGCGCAGGTTGGTACACGGGGGCACCAGTCTCTATAGCAGACATCATATTGTTGTTGGAGGACTGCGCCGGATTTTCTGGATTACTACCCAACTTCTCTCAGTCATCCCCCCTTGCTACGGCTGGATGGGTGTGATCCTTGTGTTCTAACCCGGGGAGCCCTAGAGGACCCCAGTAATGGGACAGCAGTCTCTGAGTGAGGGCGCAGTGGAAGCATTAAGCGCCAAAGCCTGAATGCCAGTTTGGAGCTTGGAGCAGCGCTCCGGCCAGGACTCTGGATTGCGTCACAGCGAACGGGAGGAGGTCCAACATGAGCTTGCATCTTTCTGCTTACCTTTTCTTCACATGTTGAACCACTGTAGCCTGCTGTAACCTATTATCAACGAAAACTAAGTGTTATAAGGAGGTAAAAGTGAAAATGGTATATAGCCCTATGTTATTGTATAATATGATTTAGGCCTATTTTTTTGAACGAGTTATTTTGTTTTAAGAAATCACTCAACTTGTGTAAAATAATTACCTTAAAACTATTTTATTCCCTACTTGTCTTTGTGGTTGTTTCGTTATTTCTTGGAAAAAAATAATGCAGTTCAGTCTTTTGTGATTGTTATGGGTCTGCTGCTACAACTAATTACTATATAATCATATATATATATATATATATATACATATATATATATATGTGTGTGTGTGTGTGTGTGTGTGTGTGTGTGTACACTACTGAGGTTACTGAGGATGCCTTCACTGACAATCAGCTTTTAGGGTAAACAGATTTAACTACAACACCAACAGATTATTGCCCTGCAATGCACGTCTCGAATACAAGTAAACTGCTGCCATCTAGCGTTTTATGTTGATACTGAGTGTAGTATTTCAGTAATGCAGTAATTCACAAATTATACGATCAAGTTATCACATGTGAAATGCCACACATTGTGGCCTGGTGATGACTGGAAGCTGTAGACTCAGCTGTCGGTTTTTTCCATACTGTATTAGATACTGATCATATATCATCTTCCTGCCCCAACATTATCTTCTGAGTTGAATTCAGGGGCCAACAATGAAAACAATAATTGACTTTGGAATAAAATAGAAATATTGAATCCAGTATTTTATACATATAAAAATATTTCAGTATGTTATTCAATTTTTGACATGTTTAAAATGACAGATACTTCCCCATGACATACTGTAGCCTATATAAAGACATGACACAGAATACATGTTCACCAATATCCAAAGTTTTTAAGTACTTGTGCTACTTTGTACTTTTATCCCACTATACATTTCAGAGATAAATGGGTTTTTTTTTACTCTTCTACATTTTTTTGAAACCTACTTTTCAGATTAAGATTTTACATATAGGGAATATGACAGGTTTATGAAATATAATTCACTACATTAGTGGTTCTCAACTTTATAGCGTGTGAGTCAGATGTTCATGAGTTGTTGGCAGAGAGATTTCAACCTCTAAACTGCTTACTGTTTCACTGTTAGTGTTTCACTGACAGTTTAAGGCCCAAAGAAGGAAAACTATCAAAATAAAATGAAATAAAATAAAAAAAAAATACACCGCACACCTTGGTGTATCAGAAGCCTATTAACAATCAGTCACAGGGGCCATTTTTTCTGTGAAAGAAGTAGCCTTACTTTTACTAATGATATTTTCATTACATTTAGCTGATGATACTTCTGTACTTTAAGTAGGAATTTTTTACATTGTTGCTTTTCTGCCGTTGGTTATGTCACCGAGTAAACAGACTCACTGATGTATAGACAAGTTTTCTAGGGGACCATGACACTCCACAGCCCGCTGAGTCAACATCACCCTCTCCTGTGACTGTGGACAACAAGCAACTGAGCAAAGGTTATTACTGCAGGGCGGAAATAATGCTGAGGACCCACCCACCTTCAAGCTGATCTCTCTGTCCTTCTTTTTCTGGATTTAACTCCGCTCCCGTTAAGTAAGTGGCTATTGAATCTTTATTAAATCTTTAATCTGTTTTGGACTGCAAACACCGGTGAGATATTAGTCGTGCACTGCATTGCGTGCGACTACGTAGTTAATCAAGTTAGTTCAATGATAAATAGGAAATTTGCCTCGCCCAATCAAACAAACACAGCAGCTGCTGAGCTGTTTAGCGGGGTCTCGACAACAACAAGCGCAAGACTTCCCTTATTTTAAACACTTATACTAATACTAGTAGCTACTTTTAACTTTTTTAACTATCTATCTAACATGCTCTCCTCTCTTCCGCTGTGTTCAGACTGGATGCTAAATGCTAATCAGTAACTTCGCTAGAGAGTATTATGTAACATTAACGGACGACGGGGTGGGTGAGTAAAGGCTCTTGTACGTCAAAGATGTTGGAGCTAAGTGACACATAAGGCTTGATAGTGTATGGGCTTTATATGCGCCTTATTATTGTAGACATATTACTAGATTTGTGATATCTTAGCTTTATTGCTTGTTGGCGAGTTGAGAAATAGCAGGCCTGTGATGCTCTCGATCAGATAGCATGTCAGTAAAATCGTAAAAGTCAAAGCAGGGGATTTAGATGTGAACATACTCGCGCCTTAGCGTGTCATTACGTTTGAAATAACGGACGATACAACAAAAAATTGCAAGTTGGTGGTTTGCGTTAGAAATCAAGACATTCGTAAAAGACATTATTAAAAAGCCAATCGGACATTGAAGTCTTGTCGTTCTTGTTGTTTAAAAAATAGAAATGCAATTTACAGAATAAATAAATATTAATATAAAGATTATCTGTTATTAATTTCTGCAATGATTCTTGTGTCAGATATAAACAAATCTGGACTTTCTTGCATTTATTTTATTGTCGTAAATGTTTGCTATGGTGGAAATTCTGGTATTTCCGATAACACGTGAAACCCTCACCAGTGTTTCAATGAGGATAAGCAGAGACCAGGAAAACAGCAAGGAAGTGTCAACTGAAACGCCCTTCCAGAGAATCACCTTTGACACAGTGTTTAGGTCTGGTTAAATAACACACTGGTGCATCTCTTAAGTTGAATTGTCTGTTGGCTATAAATAACCCTAAAATAAGGCATGATATTAGAGCCAATCAGTGGACTATTTGTAAAACTTGGATGCATTTTCACTGTAAGGAAAATCTATGTGCATTACAACAACCGAGCCTGGTACAACCTGTAGGTCTTGACTGAGATGTCAAAAACAAAAATATTGATTTCTCAGAGTGCCTCTTTTCTTGTGTGCATGTGCACAATGTGAATTTACAGTCTGCTAGATTATCACTAATCTCTACAGACAGACCTGCAACTGTAATGTGTCTTTTGCTTAGTTATGGTCTAATGTGTAACTGAAAAGATTAGGGGACATTTGCTAATTTGCATAATGCACTGTTCTCTGCTGGTTCTGAGAAAGGGGAAGGGAAAGTAGAACACTTAAAGAAAAACAACAAATATGGTTAATGTGGTCGAGCAGTTTCATATTGTCCGTGAAGCGGACGTCGTATAAAACTGAAAACATGGATAGGGCAGGGTTTTTTGTTGTTGTGTTTGCTTTACTTCAGAGTTGGCAGAGATGACACCAAATGGGTACAGTGTGATGAGTACAGTGTGATGAGTACAGTGTGGGGGTACAGTGTGTTGAGTACAGTGTGATGAGTACAGTGTGATGAGGTACAGTGTGATGAGTACAGTGTGATGAGTACAGTGTGAGGGGGTTGGGTATCAGTTTGTGTTGTATTTAGATCACTGTTTGAAAATTCCATACTAATAACAGATAATGATTGTGTGTTTTTTAAAGAACTGTTACTGGCATTTTTGCTGATATTGGATAGCTCCCGGTTCAGTGTTTTTAGATTGTTTAGACATTAGAAACAAAAATTAAAGCTAATGTTAATGTTAGTAGTATATAGTGGCCTGTAAATGCTGTATTAACTAAACCAAGAATTGAAAGTGCCTTTTGCATGTTCCTGTTTGTGTTACATGCAGAGAAACACAGCGATAAAGCAAACTACACAAATGAGCAGAAGCCCCAATGTGAGAAAACAACAGCCATTGCCTGTTTACAGTCTGAATGAATGCTGTATACATGGCAGTTGTGTCTCTAATGTTTTGCCATCAACACTCAGTACAGCAGATTCCACCTTGATGGTTCCTGGATCACTGAAAAGGGTTAGGGTACTACATTTAGACTGAGATTACTCCGGTAGAAAGACCTCAAAAAGTTCCACAAAAGGCCATGTGGGCAAAAGGGGCCATAGGATGGCTCTCAAATGTACATCATAGTAACAAGCCATAACTTCATGTCACCTCCAGGTTCTTAAGATGAGCTACCCAGGATACCCTCCTCAGTCTGGTGGATACCCACCACAGGCAGGGGGCTACCCACCTCAACCAGGAGCATATCCACCCCAAGCAGGCGGCTACCCACCAGCAGCAGGCGGCTACCCCCCGGCAGCAGGAGGCTACCCTCCGGCAGCAGGAGGCTACCCCCCACAGGCAGGTGGATACCCACCCCAAGCTGGCGGTTACCCTCCAGCAGCGGGCGGTTACCCTCCAGCAGCGGGGGGCTACCCTCCCCAGGCAGGTGGCTACCCTGCCCCAGCTGGAGGCTTCCCTCCACAGGCAGGAGGAGGATACCCACAACAGCCTGGAGCAGGAGGTTATCCTTCCATGCCTCCGTCAGGTAAGGTCGCGAGATGTTAACAGGGTCGTGAGGATTTGTTGTTGAAATGAATTGCATTGTGAGTGTTAATATCAATGTGTTTTTCAGGTGGAGGCTGGGGTGCAGCACCAGGCGGATATGGCGCGGTACATAAATTCTTTTCTCACTCCTTACGTCTGCAGCACCACGTCACTAATAACATATGGACTGACTTAAGCTAAATCCCTTGTTTGCTTAAATCACCTTATCTTCACCAGCCCAACTTGAACCTTATTGGCTCCATATAAAGTTTGTCACCGTGTACTTAGCACTTACAGCTGTCCTCTGTTTGCAGCCAGGAGGAGCTCAGCAAGGATACCCAGGAGGCCCTGCCCCAGGCCAACCCATGCCAAATTACCCTGGTGCCCCTGCAGCTAACCCCTCAATGCCTGGATATGGAAGTGGAGTTCCCTCCAACCATCAGGCACCTGCCATTTCTGTAAGATGCATTTGTCTTCATTCAGGACTTCTCTGAAACTATCTTTAAATTCACAAACAGATAAAAACACTGTTGTCTTTGTCTGTGGTATTTTTATCTTCTAATGTTTTTATTTCTCATGATGTTTTTTAAATCATAGAAAGGGTTCAGGGGCTCTATTAAAGACTTTCCAGGGGCCGATCCACTGAGAGATGTTGAAGTTCTTCGAAAGGCTATGAAGGGTTTCGGTACGTAAATGGTGTTTGAGTGTGCTAAACCCATTAAATATATTGTCATTCAAAAGAAATGGAAAAATTTATTGGCTCGTTACCCTTCTTACACTTAATTGATTCTTTTGAAAAAACATCTCGAATAGGCACTGATGAAAGTGCCATTATTGAACTTCTGGGAAGTCGTTCCAACAGGCAGAGGGTTCCAATGGTGGCTGCCTACAAAACCACTTACGGAAAGGTATCTTTTCTAATATTTTTTTTTCTAATATAAATTTTGTTTTGTTTGATTTTTACGGTTGAAATTGCTTTTCCTGGTTTTCATATGACCTTGCTTTCATGTTGGTTTTTTTTGTTTTGCAATTTTCCCTTTTAGGATTTATTCCATGATCTGAAGTCTGAGCTCACTGGAAACTTTGAGAAACTGGTTCTTGCCATGCTAATGACCCCTGCGCACTATGACGCAGCTGAACTCAGAGAGGCTATAAAGGTTGGAAACTTTAGTTATTGTCTCAGCAGATGCTTCAATTGTGTGTGTTTTTTTTTTTAGTGTAATAGGAAAATGAGAGCAAAAAAATCCCCTAAGTGCAAGTGAATGCCCCACAATGGCTCATGACCTTTAATAATTCTCTTTGTGAATTAGGTGGGTCTTTGAATGTGTTACCAAGGCTTTTTGATATTATTTCAGGGTGCAGGAACTGATGAAGCTTGTCTGATTGAGATTCTTTCATCACGCTCCAATGCAGAGATTCGTGAAATCACCACAATCTACAAAGCTCGTGAGTTCTGACCGTTGTCATTTACACTTTTGATTCAGATTTTTGTAAAAAGAGAGGAAAAGAAAAAGATTGAGCTCTGTAACATCTTCTCTCTGCCATGTGAGAGAATGTTGTGTCTGTCCTGTCTGTACACATTCAGTTTGTTGCTACATTTTGAACATTACAATTTTGAACTGTAGTAATTTAATCAAATATATTTCCACCACATTCTTTTTAGCCTACATTATATCTTTTGAAATCCTTTGAAAAGTTTTAACTTCATTAATTGATTCATTGATTAGATCTGAGAAAGACTGAAAGGTATGTCATTTTGATCATGATGATTGTTTTACCATATAAATGTCAGGGTTATCGAAATATTCTTGTAAAAGAAATAAATAACATTTTGTGTACTTCCCTTCTGACCATGATTAAAAATATAGGCCATCGCTCTACATCACAAACATTAACAATGGAAACAGTATTTTACAGCCTCTAAATGCAGAAAAAACTCTGTAATTGTCTAGTGTTGGTAATTATGGTGTTTGTTCTTAGTATTTAAAAACCTGTAAATCAATTTGGAAATGATCGCAGTTTTCTTTCAGGCAGTGTGACAAGCCTTTTATTTGAACTTGATAACGGATCGTGATAAGTGGTGTCTAAACATTATGCAAATGTTATGCAAATGAATTCATTTGCCACACCTTCCCTACAGAGTATGGGAAGAGCCTGGAGGACGCCATCAGCAACGACACCTCCGGCCACTTCCGCCGACTCCTGGTCTCTCTCTGTCAGGTAGCTGCTGCACGTTGTCCACCTGATTGATAATGAGCGCTCATGCCATTATACTGTTTAGTGAGCAAACACTTGGTGTCTTATTCCATCTAGGGAAATCGTGATGAAAGGGAGACTGTTGACATCTCTCTGGCCAAACAGGACGCTCAGGTACTGGTTTAAAGCTGCTTGTAACATTCTTGGCTAGTAATTAACATGCCTGATCATGTTCCTCTTATAATGTGTGTGTGTTTGTGTGTGCGCGCGCGCAACAGAAACTGTATGCTGCTGGAGAAAATAAAGTGGGAACTGATGAGTCTCAGTTTAATGCCATCCTGTGTGCTCGCAGCAAGCCTCACCTTCGGGCAGGTGTGTTATTTCAACCCTTTTTTTTTCTTCCTCTCTCTCTCTCTCTCTTCCTAATAAAACTCCGGCTTTGTTTTTCCACTGTCAGATCTGTACATATTGACCTCTTGGTGCATATGTCTGTACATGTTTTCAAATATTATGATTGTAACTGTCTTGCATGTGATTCGTGTCTTTTATTAGTCTTCCAGGAGTACCAGCAGATGTGTGGGAGAGACATTGAGAAGAGCATCTGCAGGGAAATGTCTGGCCATGTGGAGGATGGCATGGTGGCTGTGGGTATGTTGTTTTGGTCCTCTTTTTTTTTTTCCAAACCTCAACCAAACTGAAGTGGCTTTTCCAAAAACATGTTGAAGCCTTAAGTATATATTGAAGTCATTCGTCAAGATGTTTGTGTTCCAAGGCTTTTCCTGGAAGGAATAAAAATATCTTTCTGATGCACACAGGCTGCTGTTTGACCTACATACCTTTTCATTAAAACTTGATGATTGATCAAAAGCAAAATGATGGATTGGAAAACTAAAGGTTGCACAATCCTCTGAATGAGTCAGTTTTAAAATAGAAGATGCTCAGAAAACTACCACACATTAATAGACATGGTATTGTAGAATGAACTGACTCTATTTTTAGTTAGAGTTGTACAAAGTTGCACAAATTAAAAATTTATGAAATGTCAGTTTTTGTCATGCTGCTAATTTAAAAAAAATAACAAAACAAAAAAATGGGGATAGGAACATAAACTCTTTGGCCGAAGCCGTCACATAAAACAAATTAAATAAAATACAGTTTCCTCTTTATCTGCAGTGCAGTTATTAATGCTGTCAGTCCCAAGCGATCAACTTTTACAATCCCTCTATCTTGTCTTTTTCATTTATCAGCTGAAGCGTCGGTCTGATCTCGCAGATGCACACAAGACTCGTTCATTTGTTGATTGTTAACATCAATATCTGCTCCCCTTTTGTAGTGAAATGCATCAAGAACACCCCTGTCTACTTTGCAGAGAGGCTCCACAAGTCCATGCAGGTACACCTGTTTTTAATCATCACATTTTTTTTCTTCTTCTCACAAACCAATCGTTTCCTCCTCTGATTATTGCGGTGGGGCAGAGGAGAAGATTTCACCGCGGCAGTCAGTGAAGTGTCATATTGTGATGCATTCGCAGGGCGCTGGGACCATGGACAGAACCCTGATCCGTATCATGGTGTCCCGCTCTGAGACTGATATGTTGGACATCAGACAGGAGTATTTGAAGAAGTACGGAAAATCTCTGTACACTCACATCTCGGTAAGTCCAGCCAATCATGTTATTATGATAATTAACGTCAATGACTTTTTTTTTTTTGCGATCTTTATATGACACATCTTTATGTGTTTCTCAGGGGGACACCTCTGGGGATTACAAGAAGCTGCTGCTGAAGCTGTGCGGGGGTAGCGACTGAAAAGAGAAGACAACTTCTCCTAAGGGCAATGTATATGTCCACACTGAAACAATGTTGTAGAACCTTATATCACCTCTGATGCATGCAGTTAATGTTAGTTTTCCTATAACAACAGTAAATCAATGTTAGTTTTGTATTCTCTCTGATGACATGATAGTTTTGTTTTGCTACTGTATGATTGCCAAATAGTAAATATATATATATATATATATATATATATATATATATATTATATATATATATATATATATATATATTAATATGAAGATTTTTAAAGACACAGTAGATAGCTTTATCTTTATTAGATTAGAGGTGGAGGCCTATAGCCAAAAGTGGGTGCCTGAAAATTCAATCCTTAATTTAAAAAACAAAGTATATTATAGAGCAGTCCAACAAACTGCTAATTGTAAAGTCTGATTCTTTCTGAATTTAGATGAATAGAGTTTCACAAAATAAGAAAAACTAAAACTGCAGAACAAGGAGACTGACTCATTTATCTATAAAGTACACATACAAGGAATCATTCAACACAGTACTTTATAAAATGTGTTATTTCAGTGTTACTGTGGCAGAGTTTACCTCACTGCCAAGCATTTCAACTATGTTAAAAAAGCTGTGCGAGACTGTTAAGCAAGTTTAAGCAATTTCAATATAACTGGATCTTATACAGCATAGATATGATCATTTTATGCTTGTTCATCTGGTGTCAATTAAATTCCAGGTAATTTTTCAATGTAAAAAAAATAAATAAAAAAAATAAAGATCTGCTAAGGGGCATTTCCTCCATCTCCATCTAAGTGTCTGTGCAAACTAACCCGAATTTTTCCCTCTGCTTGAAAGTCTATGCAAATCAGCTCTTGGCAGTATATTCTTTATATCAGCTTCACAAAACTTGTCTGTTTTGCTCTTGAAATGAAATGTAAACCTTATCAATCACTATTCAGCATTTACAGACAGCGTTGCCTTTCCCTGAATGTTGAAAATGCCAAAGCCCAAAGACAGATCATATTGTGCCTTTTGTCAGGGCTGCTTTGTTGTTCAGAGTTAGTCAGTGTTTCACTGTGCAATTATCTCACAAACAATCTATAATAATACTTGTATTGGTGCAGAAATGTAATCCTCACATTGTTTGGTTTTCAATGTTTTGTTTACATTTTCTTTCATAGTGTCCTTATACTGGTTTGTATGTTGTACTGCCAGTAGAGGGCTCTTGGCTCACATGAAGTGCCGTTTCTTATGTCTGTGATTGTTTTTTGCCTGCTTACTGGGAGTTTGGCATATTTATTACTCTAACTCTACTTTGCAGTCATCCTTATAACATGATAATGATTGAAACTGAATGGATGCCTGTTTAGTTTTCTAACATTTTGCCATTTGATAGTCTCAGTGTTTCCAGAGACTTTCAAACAACCACTTCTCATTTCAATAAAAAAAAAACAAAAAAACATTTTGGCATATCTGGATTGTCTCTGTGAACTGGGATCATGTGTTTTGCATGAAACACTGTGAATGTGGATTTTCTCCTCTGAGCCAAAGCACAATGAGCAATTTGCATTTCAAAGCTAGTCTCATTTTCAACACCTTGGTCTGTAATACAACCCCCCCCCCTCAGAGCATCACGAGCTGTATGTTCCGTTAAAAGATGCGAGTAATGTGGCTTACATAAGTAATGTCTCTGTGCGTGTGCTTTGCTGTATAATCTGACGGGGAGAAAATGTTCAGGTTTGCTCTGCGGCTTGAGTGATATGGCACAGAGAGCTTTTCTCGCGGCTATAAATAGTGTCCATATTGGAGACACGGATGTCCTAAGGTCTTTCTGTTGCACTCATGGGCCTCAAAGTGCAGCCTCAGAGGGACTGTGATGGGGAGACAAATGACTTTTACTGAGCCTCACGTCTTGTACCTCTTTCTCACTTCGCTATTTCTCATATTCACTCAAAATGAAAAGCCCCCAACAGCTGGAGCACAAAGACGGATGAATATTTGATGTTGGTATTTGTGTATTTTCTCTCTTGTGGAGACTGTTTGCTGTGATACCTCCTGAAATATATGGGTCAAAAGGAAATTGGAGAGGGGGGGGGGCTCCCATTTGGCCAGCTTTTACTTTTGGAGACAAAACAGAGCACTTCCCCGACGCTGATTTCTAGACAAAGTGCTTTAATTATTAACATGTGGGCTTGATAGCAAGATGCTGCACTCTTTCTGGGACTTGGATCCCACTTAAATACACTCGCACAGGGTTACACTGTCTTATAGGAGATGTCAGACACGTGCGGATGGGAGTTGGGTAAATCAATAGTATCTGTCTGCGTCATCAGCACTAGTGGGAGATGGGAGCTGTGAAGGTCAGCCTTTGATTAGCTCTTGGCCCTCACACTTGCCATCACACGCCTGGAGCTTTCTCCTCTTCTTGTAAATGACAATTGAAATGATTTTGATTTGAATTTTTTGACTGAAAATGTGACTGAAATCTCTTAAAATTCATCATGCCAGAAAAGAAATGGAATAATATTATGTTTCACCTGAGAGATTTTTCATATTCCATGTTTTTATGTCCTTGAATGCTGAATTATTCATGTTTTATATGGTACTTTGAAAGAAAACCCCTTCAAATATAAAGGAAAATAACAAAATGACAACTGATAAAAAACACTGTCTCATTAGAGGTTTGTTTCACAGACCGATTAAACATAATCTGAATGAAAAAATCCAATTCAGTGGATCTATTGAGATTAGTCAGCATTTTACCTTAATAAACATCCCCATCACTGGCCTCTAATATTAATACTGTGTTATAAACAAGTAAGTATTGACCAAATTGTTGATTTGCAGTGGATTTTCTCCAGCCGTCCAATAAGGAATGTGTGGTTAAGTGACATTTGGTTGCCAGGGACATAATCCTGCTTTAAACTTCATGAGTGCATATGAGCAAATTACAGACCCAAGGATTAGATCAACAACACATAATGAGATGTAGCAGCAGATATCACTAGCCCGCCTGCAGAGCTGCAACCTGCACAATTTGAGGTTCATCCTCTGTTATTTGGCAAAATAAGAGAATAAAACCCGTCCAACCTGTTCTTTTTATTTATGTGTGCAGTCTGCATCCGTTCAGATACAGAGGCTTTGAAGAAGAGCAGTGGATCGCCAGAAGACAGCACATTATTCTATAAATCACAGCAAAACAACAGCCTGAGTTTGAAGTTTTGAAGTGTAACAGCCCCCATTTCAATCTAGTGTGATGGTTTTAAGAATTTACATAATTCCTAAACATTCCAGCTAGTTTTCTTGGTGAGCTCCGGATGGATTTTCCCCGCAGGGAAAAGAAATTAGTAGAGTTGTTACGTAACCATTTACATTGTTAAAGCAGTTTTAAACTTAAGTGGGGAAATGTATAGGCACACTGTGTACCGTATTAAGCTTTAAAGACACGCCCTGTGTGCTCCAGCAAGCTCCAGAAGAGAGTCACGGCCCTCATAAAGCCAATACACTGAAGCTCCTTAATAATATACAGTACTGTCAGCAAATGTGGCAAATGAGCTCAAAGCAGATTTCCACATTCAGCATCTCTCCAATTCATTTAGTCCATATTGTGGCTACAGATTAGAATGTAAAGATGATCTTACACATGATTTCATTGTGTGATGTCGGCCTCCTTTGAGATCTGATGGATTATGTAGAGCAGAAGAAAGCTCATAGAGTGGGGCAGATTTATCAGGGGACAATCCAGATGAGAGACAGGGAACTATACTATCTGGAGGTATACAATCTGCTCTAAAAAAAGAGATCAAGTTTGATATAAAAGCCTTTTGATTAGATGCATAATGCATGTGCAGCATCAATTACTGGATACGCTGAGCAGATCAAGCTTTGGGAAGCAAAGACCAAATCAATAAATACATGATTTGCAATGCTGTAATATTTACACAACTGCTTAAAGGCTTTGTGCTTGATTACTAGAACAAAAAGAAACAAACACTATATTAATGCCACTACTTAGTAATATACCAGATACAATGGCTCTTACTCATACAGTATAACAACCACAGACATTAGTACCCCCTTTAAATTGTTTTGTGAGTAAAACGTAGCATATGTATTGAGATCAAGTTATTGTCAGTTTTGAGTAATGATCGGTTTAAACAAAGATTATTTCATTTTAAGAAATTTACAGTCCTGAAGATGTAAAAGTATCCGTATTTCACAAAAAAGAAGCAAGAAATAGAGAAAAGTAAGACAAAAACCAAACATAATTTTTGTAATAGACTGTGACCCTTCATGTCTATGTTGAGACTTCGTGTTGGGTCTTGACTTATTACAGCTAATCACATAGGAGTTAAAAATAACTAGATCATATTCTATAAACTAATGTACTAAATAAATATGTCTATGGAAATATCTCAGTGTTACATTTTATTACATATATCGATGCATTATAGGACAATGATCAACTCATCACTGTAAACCACAGACACACTTTTTTTTGAAAGAAATACAAAGAGATTATAGAAATTTTCCATCACTGAGTTCATGTTCTTTGTATTTGTTCTGGGAATTTAGAGGGCTTAGCATCCAGCTTACATTCTATAATTAAACATGTAGCTTAATAGTAGTTTAATGGTGAATATTTTACACTTCCAAAATATTTGATCTAATTCTTCAAAATATGACTATCTTTAACCACTGGGTAGATAAGATGATGGTTCACCTGAAATTGTAAAAGTTACAAGTTAGATACATTATTCAGGTCTCAGCTAAGACGTTTCAAGGCTCATGGCCTCAGTTTTTCTAAAGTAGAGTATGGCCCTGTTTTACTTCCAATAGTAATGTTATGGAGGCCAGCATGAAGAAAAATACATGCAAAATATCTTTACAAACACACTACTGAACACAGTGGTGGAATGTAATTAAGTACATTTACTGAAGTACTGTACTTAAGAACAGATAGTAAGCCTCACATGATAATCCAATAAAGTATGAGATCCACAGGAGGGGATTTACCGCATATTGATCACTTCTAAGTACATTTTTGTCAAGAACACTATTTTTACTTGAGTGACAATGCAAGGCTTGTAATGCAGTTTCATATTCCACCACTGATTGAACACCACACATGAATAATAGAATAATCTGGAACCACGTCTTTATATCTTATATTTTAGTAGTATTATATCTTTATATATATTTTTCATAATGGGAATTAAAGCGGCGGGGAGCCAGGTGCGTCTGAAAACAAAGCCCCGCCCACGTTTACCTTAAATGTCCATTGCACGGAAATATGATTGGCACAGGGCTACAGCTGCTTGGACGGTGAGACATGGCGGAGTTTGCAGTCTCACAGAGAGAGCTCCTGAAGAGTTTTTACACTTTCCAACATGTCGAAAGAACTTGATTTTAGGACGACAATGTCTTCGTAGCGTACACAGAGCGGAGCTTAAAGAGGCAGAGGCGTCTTTTTTTTCGGGAAGGACGGAGCGGCGGTTGGGAAAATGTGTTGTCATCTCCGTGCAGTCAACAGCCTTGGGCAACAAATATGGCTACTTCTTGTGTATCCTCCAATTCGGGTTGAAAACCGTCCGAGCTGGGCCGAGCGGGATAGTTTCGGGGAGTCACGACAGTAGTCCGAAGTGAAGTTGACTACAAGATTAAGAAGCTGGATTTGTCCCGAAGCTGGTTTGGTTAAAGCGAAGGTGGTGGGGAGGGGGAGCGAAACAGAGAAGAGGGGACAGAGATGGAGCCAAAGCATAAAGAGTTGTTGGAGAAATGTTACCAGAACTTGGTGGAGTCGATAACAGATGCGGACCGAGTTGTGGATGTTTTGGCTCACTGCGGGACCCTTAGTCAGTCTGAACGCTACGAGCTGGGACACAACTGCTCCTCCAATTCGGAAAAAGTGGACCTCCTCCTGAAGATACTCATAAGTAAGGACAGAGACCATTTCGCAGAGTTTTGCACTGCTCTGGAGAAGACTCACCCTCACCTGCACTCCGTCCTGCTGAATGGCATTGGACCAGTGGATCATACGACTGGTGAGAAGCAATCACTGGGTTAATTGATTGATGTTAATTAACTGATTTTAGCGTGCTGTAAAAGAAAGGACAAAGGACCATGTATAAAATAGATTAGTATGGAGGCAACTGCAGCTTTATTAAAGTGAACTACAGTGTATTTAGAGATGCTTTATTTGGTTAAAATCCAACCTGTTTTCGATCTTGCTCTGAGCATGATCTAACTAACATTAGGAGTATTGACCATATGACAACTTGATGAAGGGCATGACTTTTCCTTTGGGCAAGTGTAAACAGAGAGAGGGCTGCACAATCATGTGACCTGATGCTTATTTACACTCACACTGCTGTGCTTGTTTCCTTTGCCATGTCACTAAAAGCACAGCCTGCTATAGCCTGTTGTGAAAGTATTTAATGGACCTAAAAAGACTCAAACAAT